GTTTCCAGGACAGTCAGGAGAGGAAAGGAAGGAAGGAAGGAAGGAAGGAAGGAAGGAAGGAAGGAAGGAAGGAAATAATCGATCTACATTCCAAAAGTAAAAAAAGAGAGTAAGTTTTTTTAAAAAGTAAATAAAAAAATAAAAAATAATGAAGTAAGAAAATGCATACATAAAAATACAGATAAATAAGCAAACAAAGAAAGACTGAATAAATGAATGCATAAAAATAAATGATAAAAAACAGTCAATAAGTAAATCTGTCAGGCTGAGCAGATAGACAGACAGATACATAGATAGATAGATAGATAGACAGACAGACAGACAGACAGACAGATAGATAGATAGATAGATGGATGACTAAAGAAATAAATAAATGATTGAATGAATAACTAAAGAAATAAGCACTAACTAACTAAATAAATAATAAATAATTGAGAGAGAGAGAGAGAGAGAAGTAAAGTAAGTGGGGGATAGCCAGAGAAGTAATTAAACAAGATCTTTAAAAAGCTTACCTATCAATTCATTATAGATGGATGGATGGATGGATGGATGGATAGATGGATGGACCGATAACTAACTAACTGAATAACTAACTAACTAAATACATGCATACATACATAATCAAATAAGTAGATAAATACATATCTAATGAAGTAAATAACTAACTAACTAGATAGACAGATAAATAAATAGATGAATGATTAATAGATAAATAACTAAATAAAAAACTACTTAGATAGAAGAATAAATGCCAAGATAAATCAATCAATATATAACTAGATAGATAAATAAATAACTAGATAGGTAACTAAATAACTAAACAAAAAACAAAGTAGATAGATAAATAAAAAAGAAATAAGTAAAAAAATAAACAATAGATAGATAGATAGATAGGTAGATAGGTAGATAGATAGATAGATAGATAGATAGATAAAGTAGAAGAGGATAAGCAAGTAAACAAGATCTTTGAAAGGAATTTTTTTTGGATAACTAAATAATTAAATGCACACATAAATAAAAAAAACTAGGTAAATACAAAACTAACTATCTAAATAACTAACTAAATAGATAGATAAATAAATGAATGTATAAAGGAAGGAAGAAATAAAAAATAATAAACAAATAAAAATAAATAAACAATTGAATCAATCAACAGATAGATAGATAGATGGATAGATAGGTAAATAGAAAACATAAATAGATAGATAAATAGATAGCTAAAATAAATAAATAGATAGGTAGGTAAATAATAAGTAAATAATAAATAAATAAATAAATAAATAAATCGTAGTTGGGTGTGGTAGAACACACCTTTAATCCCAATGCCTGGGAGGCAGAGACAGACAGATCTCTGAGTTCAAGGTGTGGTAGCACACACCTTTAATCCTAGCACTGGGGAAGCAGAGACGCGTGGATCTCTCTGAGTTCAAGGTGTGGTAGCAAACACCTTTGAGCCCTGTACTGGGTAGGCAGAGACAGAAAGATCTCTGTGAGTTCAAGGACAGCCTGGTCTACAGTGTTATTCCAGGACAAAGATATACAGAGAACCTGTCTCAAAAAGTAAAAGTAAAAATAAAAGAAATAGAGTTTAAAATAAAGATGGAGAATACACAGAAAATCTTGCTACTGTATATTATTATGCTCTTTTTGAATTGAATGCTGAGGAAGGAGCAACAGCTGCTAAAAGACTTTTGTTTATAAATGCTGCTGAACTAACCCAACATAGGTATTTTGAAAATACCTTGGCTTCAAAATTGAAGTCAAAAGGTATGTTACTTTGGAGAAGAGATTTTACTTTTGTTTCCACAGAAAATGAGAGGCTATGGATTTATTCAGAGTTAAGAAACATCATCTTTGGCCAAGGGAGACCACCTGAGCAATCTCCGGTAGGAACAGATGGCCCAGATGTCTGAGTTCTACATCCAGAACAGAATCAAGGCAGTCTCTTTATTAACCAATGAGAACAACACATAAAAGGCCCACCTACATCAGTTTAGTAAGGTGGTGTTTGGAGGTTCTCCTCCAAGATACCTAAATTTACTAGCTTCTGGGCAGCTGGATGTTTTTAGTACCAGGCATATTTTTCCTCTTGTTGAGTTGTTTCTTATGGCCGATTAGAAAGCTGTTTGTTTCCACAAATATGTGTGTACCACCATTGCATCCTTATGTCTTCATACCATATTGGTGATTGTAGTTTATAGACATAACACTGGGAAGGATAATTCGCTGTTTCTCTTTCTTGGAAATTTGCATGTCACCCTCTGGTACCATGAAAGTTAGTCATCAGGGAGGAGGGCTTCAAGTCAGATCAGCCTGGAATCCTTTCAGTACTGTGATTTAAACACATGATGTCATCGGCAGTAGAGACACAGTGACGTTTAGGGGATACATAAAAGGTTAAGAGTAATAGTCTTTAATGTTTTAGGAATCTCTTGAATCCTCTGACCAACAATTTGAATGAGGGAATCTCATGACTGTTACTAAACTCATTTTTAAAGATCTCTATGGCTCTTGGGAGAAGCATTGTCAGCATAGATAGAAACACTTAATTCAAACTACATATGTATATGCACACACATATCCCTATATTTATGCCTTTTTAGCTAAATAAATGCTAATATGATTCCTTAATTTTTTAAAACATGATTACTGTAATTCCACCTTCCTTCATCTCTCTCCGTCTATGTTGCTCTCCCTTTACCTAAATTTTCTTATTTCTCCCTTAAATTGTGCTTACTTTCCCACAACCACATGTTTCCTTTTATATCTTTCTGGCTTCAGTGGTTATTCTAGATTATTACATTTGATGATTTGGAATTAGGAGCTTTACAGTTTCCAATAGAATTAGGAGTTCAGTGTCAGAATATGTAGCATTTGTCTTTCTGGATCTTGGTCAACTCATTTAAAATAATTTTTCTAGTTCCATTAATCTACCTACAAAGTTGATGATGCAGTTTTTCTTCACATTAAATAATAGTCCATAATGTATAGGAGCCACATTTTTATTATCCATTCATCAGTTGAAGGAAATGTAGGTTGTTTCTATTTCCTAGTTACTGTAAATACTGTAGAAATAAAATACAGATAAACAAATATCTGTGGAGTAGATTGCAGCATTTTTTGGACACAGACTAAAATGTAGCCTAACTGTGTCATGCAGAAGACTCATCTTAGTGTTTAGAAGATTCTCCACACCTATTTCCTGAGTAACTGCACCAATGTGCATTTTCCTGAGAGTAAATGTAGATTTCTAATCCCCACACAACTTCCTCAGTAATTGATTCCCTGAATTTTAGATATACTTACTGGGGTGAAATTAAATCTCAAAGTTGTTTTAATTTGCATTTTCCTATTTGGTAATGATGATTATCAATTTTAAGATATTTTTAGCCATTTTTCAATCCGTCTTAGATCTCCATCTAAACAGTGATGTTTTCCTACTATCTGCATTTCCTTCACCAGGAAGGGATGGAGTGAAAAGGGTTGGTTTATTAAGACTTGTGGAGATGACCTCAAGTCATTTTGTTGGTGGTGTCCTTCCACTAGGGGGCACTGTAGGGATCCTAGAAATTACTTTTTCTTAAGTTGCCTAGAGGTTTGAAGATTCCAGAAGAGACATAAGGCAATCCACTCACAAAGCAGTAAGTAGGAGTGACTGTGTGGAATTCCCTGGTCTTAAGTTCTCAATCATTCTATACAAAAACCATAGATATATAGAGCTTGTTCACCGAATCTTATGTGTTTATAAACCTATTTTAAAAATAATTCCCTCAACAGATGTAAGCCAAATAAAATCTCACTGGGCATCATGAAAATTGACAGTTAAGAGAAAACATCTCCACTGCTTTCATTTTTTTAAAAAAATTACTTTAAAATATTCCTAAGTTCATAAAACTAGAAATAATTCCATTTCCCTTTATATCATATATGATACATTCAAAATATCTATCTATCTATCTATCTATCATCTATCTATCTATATCTATATATATATATCCATGCTCTGAACAAGAAAGAAAAAAACAATGGCTTAGAGAAGAAAACTAGGAAATACAAGTTCTAAGAAAGTACAAGGGAGCAGAGCTTGCTGACCGAGAGCAAGCATTCATAACCAGGTCAGAATCAGCTGTCTTTCCTGCACAGCTGTGAAGAAGAGCTGTGCACAAACCAAGATATGGAAAATAAACCATGGTGAAAACACAGGCAAGGCTTTTTTTCTTAAAATCAATAGACTTGTCATTGGGAACATTTTCTATGCACATGATGATCTGACAATTTCAAGAAATATTTTTGGCATTCCTTATAGTGCATTGCATGCTGACTTGCTCCATTTATGATGTAAGGACTTTCTTCTTGGGCATACTAAACACATTGAATGGTGGTCCCAGGCCCATCAGTAGATGGCCACACAGAATGTGCTCAATGGTGTTTCTGTATCATATTGCTTAGTTTGGATTTTTCTTTTACTTTTTTGCATTTATTATTCTTTGTTTATATTTTATATTCACCTATCATGTTTTATGGGTTTTGGGTGTGTGTTTCTTCTTTGTTATTATTTTTTAATTCTGGTGTGCTGATTTGCTAGTCTGTTTCCTTTCTAGAGAGAGGGGGCACACTGTTGGGACAGTGAGGAGGTAGAAAAGATCTAGGTAGGCTTGAAAGATGGGGGACCACGATAAGAATATATTATCTACAGAATATATTCTTTACAAAATAGGTTGAAAACATCTTGCTAAGATTCTGTAAGACTCTTCTCACTGGTGACATCAGTTTTCACACCAGTATTCTGAATTTATGAATTCTCTTTCCTAACACATTTTGTCTCAAACTCCCCTTATATGAAATACTACGTTAGAAATATACAGTTCTGGAATCTGCCTGTTGGCCTTCACAGTTGTGGAGCATTTACAGTGTAGAGTCATGAAGGGAAGGTGGGTGGGGCTGTTCAGACGAAAGAGAGAGTTCAGAGAATTGGGGGAACCTTTTGTGTGTAACACAAGTCTGTCTGGGTACAATTCTTGATACCCTCTCAGGTGGAGAGAAGACAACCCAACAATTGGACAGTGGCCATGGAGAGGAAACTGAAAGCTGTGCTGGGGATTCTGTGGGTGCAGATTTGCTGTGAGTTGTGCTCACCTAAGTCATTTTAGGGATTCTGCAGAGATGTCAGTGATGGAGGGGAAATGAGTCGATTCACAGCCTCTGTGCAGTCATCCTCATGGTGTTTCCTGGGATGTTTGACAGGTGTGGGTGAAAACCCTTAACTGACTCTGGTTTGCTTTTCTGTTTCCAACCAGGGGTGCGAGGGCTTGATGTGGAGCAGAGTCCTTCAGATCTAGGTCTCCACGAGGGAACCAAATCTGCCCTGAGATGCAATTTTTCTACCACTATCATGAGTGTGCAGTGGTTCCGACAGAATCCCAGGGGCAGCCTCATCAGACTGTTTTACTTAACTCCTGGAACAAAGGAGAATCGAAGGCTAAACTCAACATTCGACTCCAAGGAGCGCTACAGCACCCTACACATCAGGGATGCCCAGCTGGAGGACTCAGGCACCTACCTCTGTGCAGCGGAGGCACAGTGCTTTCTACAAGCCTGCAGCCTGGTCACAAACTGCAGCTGGGTGTGCAGATGCAGCCCTGACATGGGGAGACTTGACAGTAGGCTTTTCACAGTGGTGGCTTTATCAGATTCCCACCAATTACAAAAAATTATGAGAAAACAAAATTAACACAGCAGAAATTCATGCTTAAATTCAGTTTGACATGTCATTGATTTGGATAAGCTTAAATGTTCAGAAACATCAGCCCATATGACTAAAATATATTCTTTATTTCGCCAAATGTTTGTGCTAATGTCATGAAATATAAGCCTCTCTTACACATTCCAGAACCATTTGGATCATGTCTCAAAATTGGAAACTGGGAACAACTATTCCTGTCCTGTGTTTAGAGACCATAGGAAAACACTTACAGCTAATCTACTACATATAAAGTTGATAAAAGAATTAAATTTAAAGATCTAATAGATTAAGTCGTAAAAGGCAAGTAAACAAGTCTTATTATTAAATTAAGACATCACTTCTACAATATCTTGATATTTTTAAAAATATGCATTTAATTATGCAATATAAAACAAATATTTCACATAAAATGATCAGAGACAAAAGATAAATAACAAACGAGAGAGTTATATTTGCAATTTTTATCAGAATATTTGAAGCAGCTGATTCTACCAAAATATTTACACATCTTCAATGTAATATATATGCATAACACATAATGAGATACACATAATATATCTCATTCAAAGATAGCTCTCAAAAGTAAAAGTGGAACCCTTCTAAAGGTCACACAATAGGGGATTATTTCATTATACAGTAATTAAATATGATCCCAACAACTGCTTTTGTCCAAGGGTTGGTATCTTATCTTCTACAGTTGAAAAACTCTGGCATGCCAGTTGTCTTTATAAGAAACTGGAAGCAGCCATGCTCATTGATTCCCAAATTGTCTCTCCTCTGCTGTGTTCATGTTGAAACAGCAGCTGAGTGGTTACAATAGTAACTGAATTGGCTAAAATAGTTACTTGCTAGAGTTTTACAAATTAACTGACCCCCCTTGTGATTCAGTCAGCTTCATTCTCATTGCAACTACATTTTTTCCAAATATAGATTATATGAGCTTCCCAGATAATAGGAAATTCTTAATTCCCAATAAGATATACATGAGCATGGCTAGAAGTAGCAACAGTGGAAGTAACAGCTTTTACAGTAAGACTTATTGCTAGGGTATAGTTCTATTAGTTTTGCCTTTATATCTTACTTAGTATTTTTCCTTTGCAGTGTTTAATATTCTTTGCTTGTTCCGTGTGTTTAGTGTTTTGGTTATTGTGTCTCAAGGGAACTTTCTTTTATGGTCGAATCTATTTGTTCTGTAAGTTTTTTTTTTATTTTGGACTTTTATAGGCATATCCTTAGCTTCACACAAATCTAACTCCAGACCTTCATTTTATCTTTTTGGAAAACAAAGAAATAAAAAAGCAAACAAACCATAATAGAACAAATAAACAACAACAAAAAACAAATAAAACATACAAGGAGCTCATAAACATGCAAAGACACATGCATGGACACAAAAACTGGAAACCATAATATATAAGAAAGTAACTGATATGTGAAATAATGACTCAGATAAAGTATTAACAGACCTAGAAAGCAAACAAACAAAAATACAATTGAGTTTGTTTGAGTTGGCCGTCTCCTGCTGGGCATGAGACCTACCTTAAGTGTGGTTTGCAGACCCAGGGAAATGTTCTTGAAGAAAAGTAAATTATCCCTCATGAGCAATTTTCAATTGGAAATACCTTCTCAGTTAGAAGCAGATAAAGTCCATTTTCCTCTCTTAGCACTGGGACTCCATCTGTATCAGACATGTGAGGGTCCTTTGCATGTTGCCATCAACTCTATGATTTCATATGTGATACAATGTATCTGCAGAGCATTGTATCCTTGGTCCCTTCCATTCCCAGTGGCTCATATAATCCTTTTGCTTCCTCTTCCACAAAATTCACTGACCCCTAAGAGGAGAAGTTTAATGGAGACAATCTATTGAGGACCGGGTGTTCTAATGTTTCTCATTCTCGGCATATTTTCCAGTTGTGGAGTTGTACATCCCTGTGTTTGTTTCCATCTACTACAAGTGAAAGCTTCTCTGGTGATTGCTGAGTAAGACATTGATCTATTGGTATAGCAGAAAGTCATTAGAAGTCACTATATTGCTATGGATGGTTTAGTAGGACAATGATATTTGGTTTTCCCTTGCATTCATAGCCTGTCCAGTCTCAAGTTTTTGGCCACTGGAGCAGTATTAGGCATGGATTCCATTTAATGGGCCCTAAGTTCATTCAGAATGTGGTAGGTCACATCAATATCAACTGTCTCTTTATCATACTACTGTATCATGTATTGAGATCACCATTGTAGAATAAAGGACTTATAGTTGTGTTTTTGCTTGACTTTCTCCTCTGGTAACATTATACATATGCTTTGCTAGATTTAAGACAGGAAATAGACTCACTAGTGTGTTCAAACACCATTCTTAATCTCTCAACATTGGAACACACTTGATATGACATATTTGTTTGTTAAGTGTCTGAGTCCCTCACATGTCAGAGAACACTTAAGCAGAGGCCTCACTGGTTAAGGATGCAACCACAAGGTGGTAGTAGACCTCAGCTGCTGGAGAGTATGCAGAGGACTCACTTCCTTGAATGCAGATTGTGCAGGCTTAGGGCAGAAGCACAGCCTTTTTCTCAGTGGCTGAGATTGATGACTCAAGCGGTAGAATTGTTCATTAAAGAAACAACACCCTAATAATAGTAGCTGACCAGCTAGTCATCACAATTTATACTGGACCTTAATTTATTTGAAAAAAATAATTAAGACATATGTTCCTTATTCATTCATATTTCTGTAGTTGCAGTGGCATGGTGAGCTAAGATTTTAGGGTTACAGAATAATCTATGGACATTTCTGACACATTCAGAAGAAGCTCTATTTTAATCAGATTTTCTCTGCTATTCTTTAAAAAGAGAGAGAAAAGAAAAGAAAACTCAGCAAAGTGATGATGTGACCACCTTTCACCTTTCTTTCTATCTTTCTGCATAGGGGTATGCCAAGGAGAGCAGGGGGAGCATCATACTTCAATGATTCTCCTATACATTGAGAATCCAGGATGGAGCCAGCACTGTCATCAACTGCACATATGTAGGCAGTACCTTGTAAAACTTCCTTTGGTATAAACAAGGACCTGGAAAGCATCCTAAACTCATTGTTGACATTCATTCAAATGTGGAAAGAAAGAAGGACTAATGGCTGATAGCTTTACAAGATAAGAAAGCCAAACACTTCTCCCTGTGCATTGCAAACACTCAGCCTGGAGACTCTGCCATGTATTTCTGTGCCAAAGTTACCCACTGTTCCCCAGTCACATATAGCCTGTCCTCAAACCTGCCACAGTTCCTGGATCCTCATCTGCATCCTGCCTTCCAGTACAGCATTTGTCAGTTGTTAGTGGGCAAGTGGCAACTCTAGTGTAGATATTAAGACACAAAATAAGTAGGTTAGCTACAAGTAACTGAAGCTCTTTTGGACTATTTTCTCCTATTTAAAAATATTTTAAAATTTTAAGCACAATTTTGTCATTTCTTTTTCCTGGTTGCAGCACATGATTTCTGTCATAGATAGTCAGAACTTACTGTTTTTCAGAGAAGAAAATGCTGTAGCAGACATGACCCAGATAGGACATATCAATCACACAACCTCGTCCCATGGTCAAAGGTCACTGGGGAAGAGAGGATAGACAGAATGTCAGAGCAATAGGTGGGGGATGAGTACAAGAAGGCGCTGTTTCCTGGACACAGCAGGGCAGCTGCACCCATGTACTCACATGTTTACAGCACATATAAGACTTACAAAGTATCAGGGCAGACACAGTTTGATCAAGGAGTGATGGTGTGCATTCCCGCCTTTAACTAAGAAGCTTTGTGAAGTTGGTAGTTTCTAAGAGAGAGACACGGGTTTCTTTAAAAATAAATCCCCTAGTGCATAGACCACCCTCCATTGAAGGCCACACATCCAAGAGTATGTGGGTATCACATCCTGAAATGCAAACCTTGATGTATTTTATCTTTTAAATGAGTGAAAAAAACTGGATTTATAGTGAAGAGTGGATGTATCAGGCAAGATTGAAGGGGAGCAGATGAGCATGATCAAAATTAGTTCCATAATGTATTCTAAGAACTAATAAAATGAGAAAAGACAAATTTTTATCAGAAATGTGTGTGTTTGTGTGTGCATATGTCTTATTTTGTGTATATTCATCACACTAAATACCAAAGGATACACATAGTTCAGTAACACTGATGATTTCAGGCACCCACTGGGGACTTGAGACCTGTCTTCTTTGGGCGAGGTTTCAAGTTCACTCACCATGTGTTGTGCAGACATCTGTGGTGTGGTTTGAACAGAAATCAGCAGAGGGCGATGCCTTTTCGGGTGGGGTCTCATCACCACTCATCCAGGTGGTGGCTTTACATCACAGACTGTCACTGTGCAGAAGGAAGTCCTTGTTTATGAGTTTCAATAAGGTCCTGAGACTTCCCTGTGAGATCAGTGAACTCAAGAACCAAGTGTCATTGACTTCTATGAAAATGGTTCCTGACACCTGCTCAGTCCTGGTGCTCCTGCTAATGCTCAGTAAGTTACATTTACCCTAAGTGCTAATGGTGTCATTTTTTTTACAACTATGGAAGCTTTCACATATTTCCTTGTATAAAGAGTGATTTCTGATTTCTCCTTATTGATTTATTATTTATTTTCAGGGAGGAGCAATGGAGACTCAGTGACCCAGACAGAAGGCCTGGTTGTTGTCACAGAGGGGTCACCTGTGATGCTGAATTGCACCTATCAGACTGCTTCCCCAAATTATTACTTTTGGTGGTATGCGCAATATCCCAACAAAGCCCCTAGGCTTCTCCTGAGGGGCATCACAGACAACAAGAGGACAGAGCACCAAGGGTTCCACGCCACTCTCCATAAGAGCAACAGCTCCTTCCACCTGCAGAAGTCCTCAGCGCAGCTGTCAGACTCTGCCCTGTACTACTGTGCTCTGAGTGACACAATGAGGGAGACTGCAGGGGAAGCTGCACACAAACCAAGGGTGCAGGAGGGCTGAGGGGAGTAGCCCTGTGAGTGAGGGCTGTGTATCGTCTCTAAGTGGGATTTATTCAGCCTCCTGAAATAAAGCAACAAATTTCAGTCAAATTCCTAGAAAACTAGGAATTTGTGGATACTCTGACAGGATAGTTTAAGTCATTGCTAGAGACAACTGGAGCTTTGAT